ATATCAGATCCTGCTCTCTTCCTTCTACACAAAGATGGAAACCTTAATGTTAAACAACACCACCTCCACACGAACGATTGTGTTCACAATCTTCAAAAACATTTTCCCAGTCAATTCCTTTTTTTCTGGAAGTGTGAAGTCCACAGAAGTGATGGAAAGAGTCTCTGGGATTTCCTGTTACATTTGCCTGAGCATCATGAGGCAAACACTCTCCCTATGAATGATTGAAGCACCCTTCTCCTACTTGTACACCTAGGGCCTCCCCCATGAAAATCAGCCCCAGTCTCAGGCTAAAAGCCCATGCTGACCGAGTAGCCCCAGGCTCCTATAATAGGATGCTGCATCTGAGCACGCACACCATCTGCCTGGAGGTAGTTCCCTGCTGTGAGTGTCTCTGGGTTTCAGAAGAGAAACCTGGGCACAGGGTATCTGGTGTATTTGATGATGATGTTCCTTGGCCCAAGATGGTCTGTCCTAGGTGCAGCTGCAGGAATCAGGACCTGGCCTGGTGAAGCCCTCACAGAACTTGTCCCTAACCAGCAAAATTTCTAGATTCTCTTTAACCAGCTACCCTGTGCACTGAGTTCATCAGGCTCCAGGAAAGGGGCTAAAGAGGGTCAGTTTAATAAATAGTGTTGGAAGCAAATACTAAATCCTGACCCTGCAATCCTGAGTCAGCATCAGCAGGAGGACCTCCAAGTGTAAAGTTTTATTTACACTGGGAAGCCTACACCACAAGACACAGCCATGTGTGCAGGAGACACAGTGAGTGAGGGGACATCAGTGTAAGTCCAGACAGAAAGGCCTCCCTGTAGGGACGCTCAGGACCAGCAGGGGGCGCGCAGGGCACAAGAGCTAAGGTCTAGGCCCAAGAGCAGGTGCAGTTTCCTGGGGCTGTATTGCTGTTAAGAGTCTATGGTTTCTTCCTGTTCTAGAACTCATCTTAAGACCATCTGCTGTGTTGATTTATATGAAATTTGAATTAATATAACTTTCAGGAAAATATGACATACATATATTTTCCCTTAAATGTGCTACTTTTTCAGTTTTTTAAAAAAATTAGTGCATGTTTGCAGTACCTGCAGTTTACAGTCATCTTAAGGAATGGGCACTTGTACATAATACAGCTTGGTTAGTTCTTTTCGATCTGCTTCCCTTTTCCTCCTGCCTCACTCCCTCCTCTAAATCCCCATTCCCAATTTTCATTCTTGTTGAAATTATTAACCTTTTTTTTCAGCAAGGCTGATTCTGAGCTCATGTATTATTTTTCTGCTTCTCAACCTGCTGTTGAGACTCTTCTCTGCATTCTTTATTAGTGTAGTTTTTAGTTTGGGGATTTTTTATGGCTTCAGCAACTATTTCAATCTGTATGCTAAATTGCTCTGACACACTCTTTCATTGCTTTAGGGTTTCCCATGGATTTCACTGAGTAACCTCCATTCTGAATTCTATGTCTGAATTGTCCCTCCTTCTATCTGATGAGCATCAATCCCTGGCTACTGTTTGCTTTGATGAAGACCTGGTTCCTTGTTTGCTCCTCCAGATGCACAACTATCCCTGCATTGAAGAATGATGTATTAGCTCCATGCCTCCCCTTTCACCTCCATTCACTCTGTGTCAGTCCATCTAAAGTCAGGGCTAATGTTCTTCTGCAAAATAAATAAAACCTGGACACCTCTGGGATGTGTGGGTGTTATGTGAAGACCAGTGCCCATTACATTACTGAGCTGGGGGCCTTTCACCAGTAGTATCTCTTTTCAGCTCTGAAGTTTATATCCTTCAATGTTCTTCACCAACTGAAGAGTCTGCAGGTCCAGGTGTCCTCAAAACATCTCACCTTGCTATAGAAAAAAAGCATTAATAGAGGACCAAGTGTGTATCAACAAGTTTGGAAATGACACCACACAAATTTGACTAACTGCTGTGAGCTACAAATAAAGTGTAAGCCTTGGGTATTTCCTTTCTGTCTTAGCATTATATAAACTGAGGAGATCCCACAATGCATCCACCCCAGTTCACATATAAAGTGTCTAACTCCAAACTGCAAAGAATATAAGAGTTTTTGTTTTTATTCAATTAGAATGCACACACACATATATACATATATTATATATTCATTTATTTATTCATCTCCATCTGAAATTCAGTGGAAGGGCAATTATGACTTTCATGTACTATGAAGAAGCCTAAATTTTAAGAGCTTAGGTGCTTTGGAATATCCAATCATCATGCTCATCACCATCAACAAAAATTTTGTCACCATGAGGAAAGATTGTCTCATGCAGGGATAAATGTTTCAGTTTAGGAAAGAGTGGTATACAAGAAGATATAGGAAGGACAATGTATAGAAAACAATAAGATAATTTGTGGGTATTGCTTCATTACCTATCTTGACCATGAGAATGATTATATAAATATTTAACAAGTTGTATATTTGTGTCAAAATGTATCTCATCCATAAATAAAATTATTATGTAAAATATATATAATTATTATGGAAAAATTAAGTCAGAGATAGATAAAACAAAATATGTCAGATTCTGGAACATATGCTTGAAAGAATAATGGCTGTCCACTTATTTATGAAAGCATTGGAATACAGAAAAATCATGTCATGTAATCTCATTTGAGGAAGAAGTTTGGCAAATATAGCTAAACATGACCACTCTGCTTTGGAATTTTTCAGGGAGCAGTTGAGTATTGTGGGAAGATTTGTAGGACCAGATATATGAAATGTTCTTATAACAAGTGAGGTCGTATCTCAAAGGTCTATTGTGCTTCTTGCTCTACAAGCACATCTACAAAACATAAAAAAATGACCAAAACCATTAATTACATACATATGTAACTATGAGACAAGTAAAAAGTGTGTTTCACAACACAAACACATAATGAGAAATCATATTCTCATTAGTATTTTGAGTATTGCGAAATATCTCCCAGAACACTCTCATATGTACTAGGCCTTCTCTATCTGAGGTTCCACAATGCAGGTTGCTGTGTTGCAGGGGGTCCAGCCCAACCTGGACCTTGCAGTTCTGCAGATGAGCCCAGCCTGGGATGCTCAGGTGTTCCTACTGGGTGATCAGGACTAAGCACAGCTGTCTCACCATGGAATTTGCAATGAGCTAGATTTTCTTTCTTGGTGTTTTAAAAAGTAATTCATGGCTAACAAGCAATACTGAGTATGTGAGTGGACACGATTGGAATAAATAGTTCGCCTGTGTGACAGTAACCAGAGCAGAATGTCTCTGTGTCAACAGGTGTCCAGAGTAAGGTTCAGCTGGTGCATTCTGGGGAGAGGGGCTAGCTTGGTGCATCCTGGGGCATTCCTGAGACTCTTTTGTGGAGCCACTGGATTCACATTCAGTGACTACTGAACGAACTGGGTCCATCAGGCTCCAGGGAAGAGGATGCAGTAGATCTCAAGCATTAATTATGATGATGGGTAGCTACCTAGAATCTGTGAAGGGCCAATTCACCATCTCCAGAGACAATGCCAAGGACACCCTGTATCTGCAAATGAACAACATGAAATCTGAGGACACAGCCATATATTACCATGCAAGAGAAACAATGAGGGGACATCAGTGTGAGTCCAGACACAAAGCTTCCTGCAGGGACACCCAGGACCAGCAAGCAGCACTCATGTCACAGAGAGCACAGGGTCTACCACAAGAGGAGATTTAGAAGATGAAAGGTGGTTGCCTGTCAGGATCCAAAAATTCTTCTCCCTGTAATACTTAGCCCCAGATACTCCAATTTCATGTCTCTGCCTTATCTCAGACATCTCTCAGACATGATTGTTTGTCTAGAATTTATCCTTCTTTATAACTGAATAGTAGCCCATTATGTGTAAATACCATGTTTTCTTCGTACATTCATCTGTTGTTGGTATGTTGGCTGCTTCCAGGATTTAGCAATTACAAATTGTGTGGCTATAAACATTCGTATGCATGTAATGTTGCTGTGTGATGTCTTTAGCTCTTTGGTGAAAATGCCTAAAAGGGGAATAGCTGAGTCATATGAAATTTCTAATTTTGGTAATTTGAAGATTATCCATACTGATTTTAAAATGTTTGTACTAGTTTACATTCCCAGTAACAATGAAGAAGTGTTCTTGAAAAGGAAAGCTAATGTGAGCAACATGAACATGGTCATGAGCTGCCTGGGCATAGGATGCAGGAGGGAAGCAGTAGGAGGAAGAAATTGGAGAGGAGACACAGGATACACTGTGGGTTGACACGTGAGTTCCCCGATTTAATTGTGTGTGGTTGTGCAAGAGTCCATGTGTGTTAATACTTTTCAGATGCATACTTTATGTACAGGTAGTTTATATCTTATAGCTGATGAAGCTTTACCAGTAAACAGTATCTGAAAACAGAAGATGAGTGAGAGAGATAAGATGGTTAAAAATTAGAGACTCATTAACAGACACCACCATGAGCACCAGCTCTCTTTCCTCTCAGCAAATGGCTGAATGCAGCAAAGTCACACATGTTCTCACTAGAGGAAGAGGGTATATAAACTTCACCAGGTGTATTCTTCTCTGTCCAGGAGCTGGTTAAGGAACCAGCATGTTCCCAACTTAGGAGAGCATAGGCCAAGACAATGGGCATAACATTATGAGACATGGGATCATATATAGACAACACAACAGTTTATGACACTCATTATTTTAAATGATTACAAAGTAAGGAACATCAACAAAAAATTCATAATGTGTGTACATGCAAAAAAGTGAAAAGAGATCAAGAGATAAATACAGAACAAGACACTATCACATAATGCAGTATCATTTTCTCTTGAAGGCTACCATTGTTACCAAACTTCCTCAGCACATACACTTCTGCTGTGTGTGATGTCCTCTCTGAGATATCCTACCCTTGAGCTGTCTATATAGCAGGAGGCCATGCAAATAGGACCTCCCTGTGCTGATGAAAACCAGCCCAATTCTGACCCTGCAGCTCTGCAGAGGAGCCCAGCCCTGGATGCCCAGGTGTTCCCACTCGGTGATCAGGACTGAACACAGAAGGCTTACCATGGAGTTTAGAATGAGCTGGATTTTCCTTCTTGCTATTTTTAAAGGTAATTTGTGAAAAAACAAGATATATTTAATATGTGAATGGACGTGAATGGGATAAACAGTGGACATATGTGACAGTTTCCTGAGCAGGATGTCTCTGTGTTTGCAGGTGTCCAGGCTGAGGTGCAGCTGATGGAGTCCGGGGGAAACTTGGTGCAGCCTGGGAAATCCCTGAAACTCTCCTGTGTGGCCTCAGGATTCACCTTCAGTGATTACTACATGCACTGGGTCCGGCAGGCTCCAGGGAAGGGGCTGGAGTGGATCTCATACATCAGTGGTGGTAGTGGTGATATACAGTACGCAGACTCCGTGAAGGGCCGATTCACCATCTCCAGAGACAACGCGAAGAACACGCTGTATCTGCAAATGAACAGCCTGAAAGCCGAGGACACAGCCGTGTATTACTGTGCAAGAGACACAGTGAGGGGACAACCATGTGCTCCCAGACACATATCTCCTTGCAGGGCGCGCATGAACAGCAGGGGGCGCTGGGGACCCACTGAGCAAGGGGCAGGGCCCCAGAAGCAGGTGCAGAGAAAGAAGCTGGGGAGAGAGGGCTTCCTGTTGCCCTCTGGGGTTTCCTCTCTGTATTAACATCACATGACCTGACGAGACCCCGAAATACATAGGCTTCAGATTACTTATGAAGTATTCAAGGTGCAAGTACAGTGTTTCTGTTATAAATACACATTTTTTTGCTGTCTCATATTAATTTTATTAAAAGGACAATAAACCTCAAAGTAACTCGTACATTTTGAGGTTAGGTTTCTTTTGAATGTAAAATCATCATTATTTTAAAATGAAATTGTAAAAAGACACAAAATCGTTAGGTTTTTCATCACAAGGAGTGATTGTCTATTGCAGGAGTAAATGTTTTTCAAAGTGGGAAATTAAATCTGCCCTATCCCTCTCCACATGGTCAGAGACCATGCAGCTCTCTCCTCTCCTTGGCCACCTCAGGAGCCCTGGTCCTCAGGCTCAGCCCCAGCACCATGTGGAGCCCTGCACTCAGGGAGGAGGGGAGAGGGGCAGTTGGGCTGGACTCAGGACAACGTCCAAGGACCTCGCTGAGCCCTTTCTGTCCATGTTAGCTGAGCAGGACTAGGGCTTGAACTTTATTTATGGAACTTAGAAATAAGGAATTTATAAAATGAACTTTATCATTCTCCTTTTTAGTCCCTCTTTCCTCTCTTTCTCTGAGACACACATGTACAGATTTCAAGCTATCTATCATAAAAATGTATAAAATTTAAGATAAAATGCTCCTGTTTAATAATATTCATTTTTCTTTCCTAACCAGATTCTCAAATTTTTACAGTTTTTTACTTTATGTCAGTTAATTCTGTGTTCATTAGTCACATCTTTTCCTAAATTTGCATAAAACATATATACTTCTAAACTTAATAATATTTTTCTTATTATTATGGTGTTCCATGAAGCCAGTATATACTGAGCAGAAGGAAATTATTTGAAACACCCAATCCCCACACATACATGGTTCTTGAAGGCAGAGCTGAAGTGATGTCCTCGCACACAGATGCCACACATATCCCTCAGATGTGGCCATGGGTCTCATGGTCTCTCTCATCCCAGGAAGCTGAATGCACTTCCACCTCCTCACCCTGCTCTGCACCTCATGGGAACCATCACCATCACTGCTGTGCCCTGTGCTTCATGAATGAGAGTTCCCGTACCTAGTGTTGTTCCCAGACCAGGATGAGAACATCTTCCAGAACAGGCCATCACCTGAGATGTAGCTAGATCTTCACTTTTGGACCTTCTGAATTCCATTTTACTGAAGAACCATGAAATTTCTAAAACTTGTAATGGGTTCTTTATGTTTTCTTCTGTCTCATTAAGTTCAAATGTCACTTTAAAATAGTGACATTAGAACCCCAAGTCATGTAAGAGGTGAAATATGTCCACAGAAGTGGCATCTGAATTTTCTTCCAACATGGAAAGACATAGGAACTCACTATCTGTATATTCAAATCAACAACAATTTGGGAAAAAACATCGTTATCTTTCCATAGGCCTATGAAAGAAATGAAATTGCCTAATGAACAAGCACAAAGCCACCTAGAAAGACAGGCAGATCTAGAATCACTGGGTGAGTCTTGCTTCCTGGCACAGGAGTTCAAGGCTCACAGAGGAGGAAATGCTGAGGGGAGATGATGGATGGCTGGAGGGTAGGAGAGGACCAGGGTGAGGGCGAGGGTTCCTGGGGTCACACACCAGCATGATACCTCAAGAAGTCCCTAGGATCTCAAATCAGGATCCAGAAATATCTCTCAGGGCTCTGCCTACGGGAAGAGGAGATTGATTACTGGGAAACAAACCAATTGCCTTCTCCAAACAGACACTCAGGGAAGGACTTTTCCAGAAACTTATCCACCTTGTTGGAAATGAATTCCCATAACTATAAGCACCTACGAATTCTTCAAGTATGACCATAAGAAGTCAAAGTAGTCCATAGGACAAATAAAGTAAAGGACTTGCACTATTCCCTAGAGAGGACAAGATGTCATGGGAAAATGAGCCAAACATCTAGACATTGCTTTGTGAAGATTTTGGGGACAGGATCATAGCGATCTCACCAGGAGGACACGGCATCTCCATAGTCAGGCACACCAGTGTGGTGAGAGTGGATTAGAACTGAAGGATCTGCAGGACTAGGTCCACCTGAGAGCAGGAGTGAATGAAGCAGAGGAGAGGACAGGACAGCCCCGTGCAGCTTCTGCCTCCACCCACTGCCAGAACCTGCTCAGGGTGTCCAGGGCCTCAGGCTCATTTCCCTCTCTCCCCTTGCTCTCTTTTGCAAGATTTGTCTCCTCTTGGGGGTTTTGGGACATCCTGCATCTATAAAAGGCATGTAGAGGTATACAACCAGGACACACAATTCTTACAGGGAAAAGGCCACATATGTGGGGAGCCTCAGGGGTGAGACTGTGTCTATGTCTGTCCTGAGATGTGAGGTCAGAAGGGGGAAGGGACCAGCAGCTGAAGCCCACCAGGACATCACTGTGTCCTTCATGATGACAAAGTGTCCTGTGGAACCTAGGTATCCCTCATGGAGATGAGCCAGATCACCAGGCAGCTGCTGCCTGGACAACCATGTGATCAGACAATACATCATCAGCGTCAGTGGGGATGTTACTGCCTGCCCATCTGTCTTCTCCAGGGAACCCATCATGCAAGATATACTGAGTGTGTGGGTGGACATCAGTGGGATAAACAGTGGACCTGTGTGACAGTTTCCTGAGCAGGATGTCTCTGTGTTTGCAGGTGTCCAGGTTAACCTGCAGCTGGTGAAGTCCGGGGGAGGCTTGGTGCAGCCTGGGTGTTCCCTGAGACTGTCTCTCCTGTGCAGCCTCAGGATTCACCTTCAGTGATCACTGGATGAGCTGGGTCCTCCAGGCTCCAGGGAAGGGGCTAGAGTGGTCACAGACATTAATTATGATGGTAGTAGGACATACTACTTGGACACTGTGAAGGGCCAATTCACCCTCTCTAGAGACAATGGCAAGAACACACTGTATGTGCGAATGGACAGCCTGAGAACTGAGGACACAGCCTTGTATTACTGTGCAAGAGACACAATGAGGGGACCTCAGTGTGAACCCAGACACAAATGTCTCTGCAGGGGCCCACACACCAGACAGGGGAAGCTCGAGACACACAGCACAGACTCTACCCCCAGGGAGCACTGAAAGTACTGTACAAACAAAGTGAATAAGAAAGGATGGATGGAAGAGGACAGAGGATGGATCTCTTGCAATAAAGAAGTGGTCCAAGGTAACAAGGGCAAGGGGCAAGGAGGAGGGGAGAGAGAAACAAGTAGAATAAAGTTATCCCATGTACAAGAACATAATAATTTCAATTAATGTAAACATTATATGGCACAGCATGAGCTAAGGAAGATTAATAATATCAACAAGAATGAAAAATGGAATAGTGAAATTGGAGGAGGGAGAACAGAGGGGGAGGGAAAGGGAGGAGGATTTAGAAAAAGGAAACAAGCTGCAGTACCTGCATGTTACCATTCCCCAAGATGATTGTAAAGTGGGCGAACTGCAAGTACGTATGAATAAAATTTTAAAAATAAATAAAATAATGTGAAATATGGTTTCCTGTCAGGATCTGGGACTTCTCCATATAATACTTATCCCTGATATTTCAAGTTCATATGTCTATCCTTACCTCTAAGTCTCAGACAAGTTTTTGTTATTGGTGTTGTTGTTGCTTGGACAGGAGAACATATTCTCGGTTGTGCAGAACTCCATATAACTTGTGTCAATATGATTCTGCTGTGTTCATCTGGCCCAGATCCTGGCAAGGGTCAGGGGAACCTGTTAAAGCCTAAATTGAAGTTGGAATCCAGAGTGAGAAGTCAGTGTGAGCCCAGGCACAAACCTCACTTCTGGGGTGATCAGGACCAACAGACCATGCTTTTTATAGCCCCTGGAAATTCATTCCCTTCAGAGGATGCTGAGGAAAACTCAGGATGATCAAAATGCTCAGAATTCAGTCCTTCCAGTGTCCCAGTACAGGAGCAGTGACACTGGGACCAGCTGCGATCCTCGATTCTCCTTACTGTTCATCTTCCTGTGACTCATTTCCATTCAAATTTACTGAACTAATTCATGTATCAATAATTTTACCAATTAAAAACTTTTAAAGTCCATTATTTGCATTCCAATAAGAAACTGCAACCGTCAATACAATGTCATTATAAATCATTTTTTTCCTAAATGCCAAAGGGATACCAAGCACATTTAGCTATTCCTTTCCATTCTCACACTTCCTTCTTCTCCCTAATCCAGTCAAAGTGAGTATAAATCTATTTATGACTTTATGGATTTGTCATTTCTGGAAAATTTTCTTAAGCTTCAAAGAATAGGGAGTGCTTGTATCTAAGTTCAAAGCTTAGCAAGATAACTTCAGGTTTGTTTTTTTTTTTTTTTCATTTTGTGCCACTTTGTATAGTTGGGGTAGAAATTGCAGACAATAGCACATATTTCTGAGGATGTGGAAAGATTAATCTTTAAAAATGGTGATGAGATTGTGAGATTTCATAACTACTCTATAAATAATTTATTTGCTTCTGAAATTACCAAACTGAATTGCTCATGTGATTTTATCATTTGGTAATTAACTATGAGTTTTGAAACGGCACATTTATACAAAACTGTGCAAGCTGACATTCTTATAAAAATTCTTCATGGTAAACAAAACTTAGAAACTACCCCAAAGTCTATCAGTTCATAAATATTAATCAAGGATTATATTCATACATGAAGTATTCTTCATCCATAAAAGAAATGGCATTAATATCCTTGATACTGCATGAACACACATTAAAAATATTCCAATAGATAAACCCTTTTACTGTGTGAATCAGGTGACATACAATATCTCTACATTGTCCACATCACTGCACACAGAAAATAGAGCTACAGGTTCCAGGGACTATGGGGATATAAATAAGTGAATAATTAGAAATAGGTATAGGTTTTCTTATGGTGATGAATGTATAGGTTAAATATTGTTATAGTATAGGTACAAATGATTTAATATGCAAAATTTCATTCAAT